AAATATTATTCTTGAGAACCTCAACATCCTCAAGACAAGATTTTTGGATAAAGGTCTTCCATTTGCTCTCTGGAGGCTTCCTTTCATGGCTCAGATCATTTATACTTGCTTTGAGTGCTGCAGCACTCGCTTTTGCTTCATTTATCTTTCTCTGCCTGCTTAAGTAGTCTTGCCACTTAAATGTCTGTAATTTCAAAGGCTTAGTGCTTTGTCACTTTCCCAAGAAACATCAAAAAAAATTATTCAATAAAGTTATTCGCAAGAAATAGAGACCTCGTTTGTGGGACATAGCTTTGCATGATACCCAAAGAAACCAGCAAGTAACAGACAAAATATGGCCAGAAACACCAAAAGTAGTATTTGCGTATTATAGCACCCCAGCAACCACTGTCACAAACCAGAAAATCATTAAGACAAAAGCTAAATGAGAGGAGATTGATAAGATTAAGATACAAAAAACCCTTACACAAAGCAAGAACTGAACAACCAGTACAGAAGCAGCAAACGTTTTGTAGCATATGCAGACTAGCAAATATAGAAAAAAAGATTGGTGTTTACATTTGATGAACAATTTGGGCAACAACAAATAGGTACATGTATATGTATTTAAATATTAAATATTTCTTTAATGCAGTTACCTTTGTATAGACCTACACATAAATGACTATGAACAAGCTTCGGACACCTTGGGATTTCCGTACCAGGGCTCACTTGACATGCCAGGTAGTCAATTCTTGGTTTGTGTCACAACCCCCATCTTTCTTTTTCTTTTTTTCGGTGGTGTTTCTACTAGTGTATTTTTATTTATGTCTTTTTAGCTTTTATGACTATTCATAGTTTTATTACTTGCTAAATAAGGGCAATTGATGTAAGCCATGGTTCATATCCTGAATCATGTTATTGGGTCATTGCTCTCTGTGTCCATAATAATCATAGTTTCCCATTTCAATAATCTTAGTTCAAATAATATGAGGAGAAGTTGGAAAGCCTATAAACATCAATATACTTCTTCTATTTCTGGTAGAGTAGATTGCTGACAATCTATGAGAAGCTTTGTAGCTTTTGTGTGATGAGGTGATGGTTCTTACTAATGAATGGAATTCCTGAATGATTATTCTTCTGTTGGCACTCCTTTTCTGCACTTTATACAGCCACCAAACCATACATACGCCAAATATTTTATCCTAATGAATTCCCATTTCCCAATTTGTAGCCGAATAAAGTTGTACTTATGAAATTTTTATCAAATTACAAAATGATGTGGCATATCCATATTGAAAGTTAACGAGATCCACTAATCTTACAATCCTAATTGATTTTGTACATAACATTGGTAAAAGTTTGGGTTTAAGTGTAGCATTCTTCCTAGCCTTCAATTTACCAGAAAAACACCACAATTGTTTGCTGTCCAGAATTTCCAGCATCTAGTTCTCTGAAATTTCGGTGCACTATATGTTTTAAATCAAGTCAGTTTGAACCCTTTTCAGACCTTAAGGCCGGAACCCTTTGCTTCAACCTTTTAAAAGCCTAAACATGCAAGCTTTTGTAAACTGTAACACCCATTAAATGAATTTTACACGGCACAACCAACTTCCCAATGCTGTTGTGCATCAGTCTGGCAACAGAACAAAAGAATCATCCTTGTTTGTTCAAATTTCAAATCCATGGAACGCAGAAATTGTCAAGTCAAAAGATTGAGAAAAGGAAAATAAGAGTTAAATTCATATATCGAACAGAGCCATGAGATACTGCGGTAGCAAAGTAGAGAGCCAGTACTGGAAAGGTGACATTAATAAACAAAGATGCGATTATAGGTAGTATAATCTGAAGTGCAATTAAATATTATTTAACTCACCAGAATAGGAAAGCCACAAAGTATCCTGTATTTCTCTCCCCTATGCAATTGTTCTGGGTAAAAGATGCAGAATAAAACTCTTAAGAGAAACAACTAATGCATGATAAAATAGATCACCTAAAACACCTAAATCATCTCATTCCCCTCCCCCTCCCCCTCCCCCTCCCCCACAACAAAAAAAAAGGAAGTTAGTTTATCCAACGGAAGTTTGTTCATTCACTTAAAAAATGTTTCAGAAAAATTGCAATTTTCTGCAATTCTTAGTATCATATTTTTCTCACAATTCCCATTTAGCTGATTTTTCACAATTTATAAGTTTATTTCGGTGGCATTGTTAGTACTTATACAAATAAAATTGTCAATATCTATCCAAAAAACATTTGTCAAAACTTTATTAGAAAAGTGCATTACCCGGTTTTTGGTTTCACCCAACCGAATGTCTCAGGAGGAATAAACTAGGTACAAATCTAACATTCGGTATTTTTGCCACAAAATAATTGCCCCATCTTTACAATTGCTAGCCCGAGCATTTTACTATTGCCCAAGGCAATGACCCCATAGAAATCAAAACATTAACATACACTTTATTTTAAACCCTAAAATACCGAAGTTCATTTAGAATTGGAGTCAAAAGTCCATTGTAACATAGAGCTCTAGAGGTTAAATGAATCAGACAGCAAACAAAATCAACAACCACAATCAACTACAATGCATAATTGAAGAATCAGGTAAAACTTAATAGGCCCCTGTTAGTATGCTTTAGCCATTATGATCCAACAAAATAGCAAAAACCCAGGTATCATAACTTAATCGGAAACCAGAGTCATTCCAAAAAAAGACCACGTAGTGGGACAACCTCAAAAAAGGCAAAAATCAAACTAGGTACCAGGATTTGGGAACCTACCTAATGAAGGAAACAACCCTTTGGTATAGGTGGAGGAGCTGGTTAATAAGGACCATATAAAAGGGAACATATTCTTCTTGAGCCTATCTTTTCTCTTGATGTGTCTAAAGTAAATTTGGCATTGCCACTGAGCCAAACAAACGGGAGACAGGGAGATATTATGAGGTGGTCTAGTACTTTTAGCATTCAACAACACTGTGAGAAGTGGTTATAACAAGATGCAATCTGGAACATGTCACCATGGAAGGAGTAATAAAGCCACATGTTCATTTAAGGTGCCTGAGGAGTTATGGCAAATTATATGGAAGTTATAGGCCCCACCAAAAGTAAAAATGTTTCTCTGGAAGTCACAGGATCTTTGCCAACTAAATGGAGTCTATGGAGAAGAAATATGATGAAATCTCCCATGTGCCTAATCTGTGGAGAGGAGGAGGCATTGGAGCATCTATTTTTGATATGCTCCTAGACTTGCAAGATACGGAGTGAATAGAAAATTGATTGTTGGAGTCATGAAATCTCTATATTATTAAAGGTATAGGACAGTCATTGGTGGCTTTCTTGTTGTGGTCCTTCTGGAAAGCAAGAAACCAATGGGTCCTTTCAGCATAGATTGATGTCATATAGAGCAGTAATAAACCAAGTTGTATTTGCCAATGATGAATAGTGAGTTGTAATAATAGGCCGAGATGTCAAGAGTGGGGAAGGGAATGAAGAAACCTGCTTGGACTACACCCCCATTGGGATGGATCCAGATTAATTGTGATGGAAGTTTTAAGGAGGAGGATCAGAAAGAGGCATATGGCTTAATAGTTAGGAACCCTGATGGAGGCATCCTTTGCTGTGAATTTGGGGTGATGGCAGCAAGATTCCCACTGTTAGCTGAAGTATGGGCAGTAATAAGAGCCTGCAATTGGGCAGTGGAAAATAACTGTCCAGCAACCATCATAGAATCCGATTCGAAGATGTTGATCGAGTCTCTACAAAAAGGACCACCACACAGCTGGATACTTGGGGTTTTGCCAAGCACATGACTGCTATGGAATGGAGGGTGATTGGAAGAGAGAGTAAAAGCCCATTGGGTAGCCTCTCAGGCTATTAGAGGAAATCTTCATGCACAATGGAACTACTGTATACCTACAGAATTGCAGAATATGTGTTCTAGGGATGTCCAAGCTGGTATAGATGAAATGATGTATTCCTAAACTTGTATTGATTGTTTGTTTGATATCAATGAAATGATGGATTCTGACCCAAAAAAAAAAAAGTTCACTTCCCCCAAATTGCAAATATAAACTAAAAAAGATATCATACAACTAAACAGCCACAACCACCACAAAAACAAAATTAAAATAAAGTCAGGTATCAAAGTCCAACAATGCCCATATTCTAAGCAAGCAAATGAAAGGAAGCAATAGCCCTGCATCTATTGTATCACAAACACATCTAACCAACTCAACAAGCAAATCCTAAAATGAACAAATTAACTTAAATTCAATCTCAACAGGCTCACCATTACAATCACCAATGGTCGACAGCACCCTAAAGCTTGCACAAAATTGAACCTTTCTGCCAATGTAACACATTCAACACATTTTTTATTCCAATACACAACGCACAATTGAAAACACAAATACATTTTTCCTTCCTAGCAAATACACAACACATTTTTTGGCAGCAACTCTATTTTTTCCCTTAGCAACACTAACTGATTCTCTGGAAAATCTGTATTTTGCTCAAATGGCACCACTTTTCTACAAATTTAAGACAAAAACCAATTCAAACAACCAATCAACCAAAAATATCCAATTAAGAACGTGAGTATCATATTAAACAAAAAAGGGGAAAAACTGAGGCACGGTATTAGTATTTGAATCATCGCGAAAAACTGAGACACAGATATAGTACTTGAGTCATCAATATCAACAAATACATCCCAAGTTATCAGCAAGAAGGAAAATACCACTGCATCTACCATGGCCTGCTAACAATCTTGATAAAGTCAACCAACTACTTTTATCACTTCCGAGTTTCTGTTGATGTAATTAGTCAGCTCATCTATCAAAACGATAAAAACGTTGATGAAGTTTGAACTATGTGTTACCATGTTAAAATCCCAAAACCCAAACAACAAGCAAGAACATTTTGACGATAGTAACTCAACAATCCTCGATAAAACCCCAATTCATCGACCACAAAACAAGTAAGCATGTGAAATGAAAAAAATTACATTTCTAATTAAGACTACTTTTTGCGCTTGAGTGGCCCAGTCTTATACCCACTCTTGCACGGCTTCCCCCATGGCGTCAACGAAGTCCGACCATGTCTCCCGCTACTCTTACTCCTCCCTTCCCCACCACCGTGAGGGTGATCAACAGGATTCATGGCCACACCTCTCACCACCGGCCTTCTCCCAAGCCACCTACTCTGCCCCGCCTTTCTCAACTTCTTCTTTCTATGTTCCGGGTTCGACACTTGCCCAACCGTAGCCCGACACTTGGTATCAATCAGTTTCTTCACTCCGGACGGCAATTTCACTTCACAGAACCTAGTCGACTTCGAGGGCACCGTCAAGATCTTGGCCGAAGTACCAGCGGCTCGGACCAACTTGCCTCCTTGGCCCGGTCTGAGCTCAATGTTGTGGATTAGGGTTCCGATTCGCATCATGGATAAGGGCATACAGCTTCCGATTTGGGAGCTGATATCGAGGGTTTGCATTTGATTCATCATCATCGTTGATGATATGCGAGACTGAAGAGGAGTGGTATTGAAATGGCGGATTGGAGGGAGGAGGAATGTGTGGAGGAGTGTCAAGGAAGCTGTGCGAGCTCTGGAGAATGCCATTTTTGCGAGCGATTAGGTTTTGGTTTTGGGGGTTCTGAAATTTAAGGGCTTTAACAGATTGTCACAAGGGAAAATAGGGTAACTTTTCTTCCATGTAATTTAACACCTGTAATTTAATAAAGAAAACAATATATAAAAAATTATAATAATTGCATAAAAAATATTTTGTATTTACTAATGGAGTTGAGTTGATTGAAATTGAAAAATTACCAACTCAATCATCTCTTAACACCATCGGTGGTGGTAGAAACTACTTCTTCAACATCATTAAAAGAAAAAAAAAATTAGATTCTTTCATAGAGAAATTTTCAACTAAAACGATATACCTCATCATCAATATCAAGATTCTCCAATAATGTGTAGCTCTCCAGGCCCGTCGAGGTAGATGAACCTAACAAAAAAAAAATGTATTAGTCATACTTTTACCCCCAAAAAAATTATGATGCACATACAAAAATTTCATTACCTCGGCTCTTCATTACCTCGTTCCTAAAGGCATAAACGGCAGCACGTATGGTTCAAGGACCAAAATGCATAAACAGATCCAATGCCCCTTTATACACACAAACTTCTCCCCAATAGTATTGGGCAGCATATAACTTCACAAGTTTATTGGAAAACAAATTCAAAATACTTCATTAAATAATCCACAATACCATAGAAAGAAAATGTAAATCAACTACTGAGTAATATCTTGTCAAATTAAAGATCTAGAACAACACATTGTTAAATGTGTTATTAATAAATTAATTGAGAAAGAAAAATAAGCATCTAAAAATAATTCAATATTTAGTTATCAAGTTCCCAAGCATACGCACAAAACAATTTGATTTCCAAAGTTGCTGAATCTTTGCATTTACCGAGCAGATTTCAATAACTACTCAAAACCCACATGAGAGCAATCAAATTACAGAAAATATTAAATACAAATCAATAACAATCAGCAGGTGTGAACGTTTCTAAACATGACTGTGCGAATTTGTGCTGCGAATTTCTAAAATGCACATTGAACAGTTCGTATCATCACTTACCCCTGCTACTGCTAGATCACTGTGCGAATTTGTGCTGTGCTGTCTGAAGAAAATAGATCTATCAAATAGATTCAGCTTATCAGAGAAAAATATGAGAGTGAGAGAGATGACCGACTTGTGACCGTGAGGCTGTGAGGACTGAGGAGCAGTCGGCGACGGCGTTGAGGAACGACCTGTGAGACAGTGACTGTGAGGATGGAGGCGCCCCAGGCGGGTAGATGCCTGAGGAGAGTAAGAATGTAAAATAGGGTTCCTAGTTGAATGACGCGTGCATTTGAGTTTTAATATATATTTTATTTCATTAGTAATTATAAAAAATTCAGCTCGACCATAACACAAAATATTCTATTGTAACAATAAAAATACGATAAATTGGAGTCTTTTATACCAGTGTAACATTAGAAATATGACAAATTTGAGTCATATTACATTAAAAATTTTGACTATAACATAAGAAACACAATAAATTCGAGTAATTCATATTTCAAATAAATATCGAATAATCATGCAAACAATGCAAAACACTAAACAATATTAATCTTAGTACCAAAAAACAAACGCAAAAAAAAATGAAAAATCTATTCCTTTAACCGAAAGAAAAAAAATAAATTTTAATTAAAAATTAGAATAACTTAGTAATAACAACATCATTTGTTTCTCTTATTAACTTTACTTTATAGAACAACCAAAAAGGGAGTGTGTATCCCGACATTCTTATTACCGATACAGAATTCCTTAATATGAAAATAGAGTCAACCACTGCATCATTTCCCTTTGAATTTCCCAATATCAATAAATACCAATAATTTTGAAACTCAAGGTAGACAAAAAGATGTATAAAAGAATTTTTTAATAAGTAAAATGACCAGAAAAGCAACATTAAGGTAAAGAATACACAGTTTATCAGAATGTCTATTACATGATTTTCTCTATTAATCAAAATCAAGTCAATAAGTCATAATGCCCCGAGTTAAATCACTAAAACAAGTATATGGCAAAATTTAAGGGCTGAAGCAAGATATAATAGTAGTTGGTGGAAAACAAAGGCTAGGCTACTGGAATAGGCGGCTTCGTGGCTTGCTGGACATTGTCTCTAAAAAACAATGAACCTTATAAAAGCTTTAAGACAATGGGTAGTGGAATATAAACTCTAAAAGTCTAAACCAAAAGTTAAATAAACTATTATTTGATTCAAACTATTTATTCTAGAAGTCTAAGAGTTAGAAGTTAAATTTATTTTAGAAGTCTAAAAGTTAGGACTAAATGAAAAGTATAAAAATAGAGTTTAGTTTTTGGTGGAGATGGAGTCATAGAGAATCAGAGGAGTCTTCTTGACTATAGGTATTTTAATATAGAATAGAAGGCGAGAATGAAAGAAAGTAACACTAATTTGACTTTATATAATTGTTTGAGAATAATGAAGACAATTTTTTTTCGGTATAATAACCTTTTAGAAGTAGTAGAGATAGATATAGATTTAGATATAAATATATTGACAATCATTGAATTTGTAAGTTTCTTTAATACTATACACAAGGTCAATTTTTGATGATGTAAGTCATAAGTGTCTTCACATATTTTTTTAAAGACAAAATAGAAATTCAAAAGTTTTGTACATTTAGAACGAATTATTAGTATGAGGTATAATTGTCATTATAATTTTGTTTAAGAGTAAAAGAGAAAATCAAAAGTTTTTCATGTAAGGTACTTTTATTAGTAATATAGATATATATTTTTAACAAGGATAGTGGAGACGGAGCGGGGGTAAGGGTAAGTTTATCCCCGCCTTCATTCCTTCACGGATTTATATGGATATTCCCGTATACGTCTATCGTCCAATACGTATCCGGTCTAAACAGGGTAAATTTTGACGAATACCCATTTTTTTCCGATCCACTGTTATCCCTACCTGTGAAGACAATTATCATTACAAGGCATTAATTGTCATTGTGCCGATTCGCTGTCCTCTATGAACCCTGAGGTGCTTATTCCCAGGGGATGGGCAATGAATGCTCAAATGTTCCTGTGCATGGATTCACTCATCCGAAGGGATTAGTCTTGAGGAGATTGATGAGATTGCACTCATTATACTTGGATATGAGTGTAAGCCATTAAATGCTGAGATGAGACTCAAAAATCTCCCAATCATTACTAGCTCAAGTATAAGTATCCCTTAGGAATCTGAACAAAAGTATGCAATTCAAATTCAGAATTGCATACCTTAAGTATTATAGTCAAATTTATACTCCATTAAATCTTCTTTTTTTATCAAATTATTGTTATTAAGTAAACATTTGAAATTCTTTTTTTTTTTTTGCATTACCTAATTACTCCTACTATAAATACTGCATATTATTGTTAGTTTTAATGTTTTTCAAATATAATAACACTTAACTTGAAAATTGTGTTAGTATTAAAATTATTTTTTATTATATATATATAAATTGTAGATGATAGAAAAATAATTTTAATGCTAATACAATTCTCAATTTATGAATTTTTAGTTTTTATCAAATAAGTTTTGATTTAATGCAATTTTCAACTATTGAGGATATTTTAGACAATAAAAATTGAAATAAACTTTTTTTCATTGCTACAGCAAGTAGATGACAACTAACGCAAGACACTTTCAAAGGTAAATTTTGATGGGACTATTTTCTCTAGCATTGGGATAGGTATTAGAGATTGGACAAGAAAATTGTAATTAGTTGTGTACGTGGAATCGATGGCGGCACTCACCGAAATAAAGTAGGGACATTTTGGGTCTAGAAAAAATTAATTAAGTTTTTATATTCAAATTTTTGTTATTATAGTTGAACTTGATTATAAGAGAGAGAGAGAGAGAGAGAGAGAGAGAGGAGAGAATAATTGAAAAATTATGATGATAAATTTGAATTTGACTTTGTTAGGGGAATAAGACTTGATTTTTAGTAGTTTAGTTTTATTGTTAACATTTTAGGAACTTTTAATTTCACTAGCGATGCATGACGTGTGTTACACGTAAATAAATTTAAATAATAATTTTTATAAAAAAAATGAATTATATGTGTAATTAAATTAAATAATAAATTTGATATCGAATAATTAATTCTTATTAAATTTAATTATTAATTTATTCTATAAGTCTTTGAGTACTTATTTTTTTTAATACTTAATCTGTCATTTGTTTTAGGCATTTGCAGAGGTTTTGACCAAAACTAGCCTCCCTCAAAACTTTATTCCCTAATCCATTCAGTTTTAAACTTATTTTTCAAACTCAATCTCTTTTAAACACGTCATTTGGAATGATGTCTTCACAGGTTAAAAGGTCATTTGGAATGACTATTTTAAATTGAATTTTTTTATGTAAATCGTCATTTGTAATGACGTCGTTAAAAACGTAAGTGAGAATGACTTTAAAAGAAGTGAATTCAAATGGCATAGCATAACAGATGTTAAAAAAATTGTTGGCTTAAAAACGTCATTGCATAAATTTATAAAAAAATATTTTTAAATTATTTAATGCAGTTGTATGAGTTTATTAATGATATTATTTTTTTGGTTCAGTAGTGTTTTGTTTGCTAAAAAAATAAATTATTAGCCTGTTTCGCACAAAAATTTATAAACTTTGAAAGCTACTAAAAAATCAAGTTATAAATTAAAAAAAGTTAATTTAGTGCAGTACAACCAAAAAATGCTAACAAATTTTGACCAATTTGTTTTCTATACGTTAAAAAATTATCTATTCCAATTTTATGTTATAAGTTCATTAAACAATGAGAGTTGACCTATAAAAAGTGTACAAAACATGAAAATATGTAAAAAGATATTTGTACATTAAACAAAACAATTGTATTATATGAGACTGTAAGAAATACACTGTGTTAATATTGTGGTTGATGTAGAAAACAATATAGAAGATTATCGAGTACACATAAACTCGATGGAATAAATGTATCAGACGCATCATAACTTAAATCAGAATAATCAGAAAGTTCAATATCGGAAACAAGTAACAAATCCTGTAAAATTTAAATCTCAACATAGTCAGGATCGAAATACTCAATTTTTGCAAGCTTGATTACATGCAAACGATCAAGTCTACGTTGCATCTAATCATTTTCACGTTCAAGCCTTACTATGATCTCGTTATGATTGGTAGAGTTTTGTGGATCATATATATCAGTCAAATGTGCCTTCGAAACCATTAATTCATGTCAACGACTGTATACTTCAAGCTCACAACGTTTGTCATACAACTATCGTCATCTTGGTGTGGGTTCGATACGAACACTCGGATGTGGATAATCGGTCACAAGTCCAACAAATACGTGTCCAACTTGATCGAATGATTGATAAGGGTCGATGACCTCATTACGTAACTCACACTTTTGTTCATACCAAGTTACACCAATAGAATCTTTGTATGATTCAATTGAACGACCTACGTTCAAAATGTTACTCGCCCAGCAGAGCGTTCACGTTCATTGGTTGAAGATGAACTTTGTTGTTCATTGCGTGATAAAGAACCTTGAGTGGTTTGACTGGATTGTCTATTAGATGTTCGCTTAGACATTTTTTGGGTTCTGATGTACATAATTAATAATGATGGTTTATATAGACACGAAATTCAATTATATATAAATTTGACAGGACAATTACTGAGTATGACTAACATGACTTGACACAGATAAAGTAATGATATGACTTCACAGTGATAAAGTAATGTCATAACTCATGAATGAAAAAAGAACTGATAGGACTTGATAGTAGAATGACTTCATTGATAAAACAATAAAATGACTTCACAATGAAAAAGTAATGACATAACAATTTAAATACAAAGGATTGACATGACTTTACACTACACTGGTTACACAGGCTTGCTATCTCACAAATGAACAATTACAGACTTTGTTAAGCTTCATCAGACATATAATCATATGACATGTATTGTGCATTAGACAATATATTATTTTGCTTAATTGGTGCAACTATTATCATGTCTTTTGCTTGTTAGAGCATACAATAGGGACACCTACAAACCAACATTCTATTATTCTCTCGGCAAATTTGTTTTATTGCTGATTTGTAGTCCTCTCTA